CTGCAGCCTAGGGGGGCGGGGGCGGCAGAGGCGGCTGGGGGAGTGGGTGGGTGTGGACTGGCATCTGATCTCCAGCTGGGCACCTCACCAGCCCCATCACTGCCCCCCCCAGATCCCTCCACTCCAGGGCGATTCTGGGGGACCCCGTGCACGTTTTCAACTAGCTCAAAAAATCCTTGTCCCTCCCGCGTCAGGGCTGGGGACAGGACAGGGTCACCCGTGCAGCCTCAGTCCCACACTACTCCAGCGCGGAGGCTGGCTCGCGTCCCCCCAGCTTTGGGCCCGCCCCCGCGCGCCCCAGCCCCAGCCCTGGCCAAGGCCACAGGTCCCGGCCTCAGCAGCGCCCCCCTCTGCTGGTCAGGAGCACTGAGCTGGACTCCCAGGGATGGCCGGCGCTCAGGGAGCCTCCACGGGGGCAGCTCCGGGTCCTGGCTGGAGTCCGCCTCCCTCCATGTCTGTTTGCCCAGGAGGGTGTGGGGGGCTCCCATGAGGCCGTAGAAGACAGGGGTGGCACTTGCTCCCTAGGTGGGGCGGCCACAGGCCCTTGGCCACCCTGGAGGGGGCCCCGAGGCAGGGGCCGCATGTCAAGCCCTCTCCCCTTTGGAGCTGGTGAGAAGGTCACGGCCCGCCGCGCATACCTCCTCTGCGCCCCTCTGCGCCCCTCTGGGCCTTCTAAACTCAGCGAGGAGTGCGGGGCTCCGGGAATGGTGGGCGGCGTCCCTGCGGATTCCACATCTTCCTGGGGTCAGCCGGAGAGTGCTTGGCATCGCTGCCTGTGCATCTGGGGGTGCGCCGGGGTGTGTACCTGTGTGGGTGTGATGGGGTTTCGTGTACCTGCGTGAATGTGACTGGGGTGTACTAGTGTGTACCTCTGTGAGTGTGACTGGATATGTACCTGTGTGTACCTGTGTGGGTGTGACGGGGGTGCGTGTACCTGTGTGGGTGTGACTGAGGAGTATGTACCTGTGTAAGAGTGTGTACCTTTGTGGGTGTGACTGGGGATGTGTGTACCTGTGCGAGGGGTGTGTACCTGTGTGAGGGGTGTGTACTTTTGTGGGTGTGACTGAGGGGTGTGTACTTGTGTGGGTGTGACTGAGGAGTGTGTACCTGTGTGGGGTTTGTACCTGTGGGAGGCGTGCACCTGTGTCGGTGTGGCTGAGGAGTGTGTACCTGTGTGGGTGTGACAGGTGCGTGTACCTGTGGGGGTGAATGTACAGGACTGGGCGGGAGAGCCTGTGTGGTCTTTGATCCCCCATTAAGGGGATCCCAGCACCCTCCTTGTTGGTCTTTTCCCCAAAGCCCCAGGCACTTGCTGTTTGGCTGTGCGGTCCTGGGGTGATGTGACCTGTGTCCCCATCATCGTGCATTCATGAGTCTTTTCTCGACCACACCGTGGGCCCCCCGGAGGGTGGAAGTGGCCTGCGCCCTCTCTAGCCAGCTGGAGGTTGTGGCCCATAGGGGTGCTCGCTCCCCGGGAGCCATGTCAGTGAGGCCCAGTACTCACTCGGTTTGGTTTAGCCCGTTTCCGAGCGCCATCCTACTGGGGCGGGTGGTAGTGACAGATGGGAGAGGCCCAGAGGGGAGGTGACAAGGCACATCCCACCAGAGCTGGGATCCACTCGAGTCTGGGGGGGTGGCTTCGAGGGGTTAGGAGGAGGCTGGGCGGGTGAACTGTCTGGAATGAAAAGGGGTGGCCGGGGGACTGGGCATCTCAGTGGGACAGGGAGGGGTTGGGGGGCCTGGGGTGCTGGGTGGCTGTGACCGGCAGAGTTGTGTGGCAGAGGAGCTGGCTGTCCCCGTGGGCCCCGCCTCTCCCCCTTATCCCCGGGAGGGAGGTGGCAGGTAACCCGTTGCTCTTGTGATTTGTCCAGAAGAAGAAGATGGTGGCCTTGAAGGCTTCGATGACTTCTTCCCTGAGGAGCCCATGAGCCTTCCCAAGAAGAAGAAATCCAAGAAGCTCAAGGACAGCAGGTCCAAGGGGAAGCGGAAGAAGAAAGAGGTACGTGGGCTGGTGGAGGCCTTGGCGACTCCCGCGGCCTTCTGGGGGCGGGGGCGCGGTCCTGAGACCTGGCCTTCCGGGGGGCGCGGTCCTGAGACCTGGCCTTCCGGGGGGCGCGGTCCTGAGACCTGGCCTTCCAGGGGGCGCGGTCCTGAGACCTGGCCTTCCAGGGGCGGGGGTGCGGTCCTGAGACCTGGCCTTCCGGGGGGCGCGGTCCTGAGACCTGGCCTTCCGGGGGGTGCGGTCCTGAGACCTGGCCTTCCAGGGCGCGTTCCTGAGACCTGGCCTTCCGGGGGGCGCGTTCCTGAGACCCGAGTGTGCGAGAAGCTCAGTGCTGAGCGGTGAGCATGGACAGCTTTCCAAGACGGGCCTGAAGTGTCCTGTCTCCTTAAGCAGGATGTTCAGGGGTCCCTTATCCTTCCACTGGTCCCAGTCGTGCTGGGTCATGGCAACATGGGGTCCCCAGCACACCCCTTCGCTGGAGGACTCATGTTCCTGCCTGCGGCATGTGTCCACTGCCTCTTGTCTGCTCCTGTCCCCTCTACTGGCCTCTGTTCCTCTGGTTTGTGGCGGAGGGGCAGGGGTGCCATGGCCCATGGGTGCCCCCTTCCTCCTCTCCCCACCCCAGGCAGGGCTGAAGTTTCTCTCTCCCCCTGGGCATGGGGTACAGCAGGACCCTTCCACCACCCTGGCCAGGCAGGAGGCCGGAGGGGCGCACCGTCCGGCCAGTGGCAGGCTGGTGGCCTCCGAGGCCTGGGAGGGCTGGTGCTCGCCTCCCCCACAGCCAGCGCCATGGCCACTCAGGTCTCCTCCCTCCCTTCTTCCTCTGGACCTATGAGCACACGTTTGTTTTTGTCTCTGCGCCTGTCTTTCTGGCCCGTGTCTGTCTGTCTCTGACTGTGTCGCCTTCACTTTTTTGGCCTGAGCTGGGCCTCTCTCTCTCATCCATCTCTTGCTGTCTCTTGTCTTCTCTGCTCTCTTCCATTTCTTCTTCCCCTTCCTCATTTCCCCCACCTCCCCCTTTCCCTCCCTCTCTCCCTTCCCCCTCTTCCTCTCTCCCTCCCTCCCCC